GCTGGGGAATTCTGGGAGTTGAAGTCCACCCATCTTTAAGTTGCCAAGGTTGAGAAACACTAGTCTAAGTGATCCATTCTCCATCCACAGTCCCTCTAATCATGGGCACTTGTAAAACCAGCTACTTTGATCAAAATAATGGAACCACCATTATGCTTTAAGTTTATTTACTTATTTAAGATGCGTCTGGCTGTCCCTTTCATAGCAACGACTCTGAGCGACGTACAGAAGTTTAAAACTAGACGATAATAAAATGGTCAATTGCGTGATCCACGTAACCGAGGGCCGTGGCCAGGAAAAAAAAGAAAACACTCCCCATTTGCCACAAAAAGCAGCAATCAAACCAATCAACCAATCAGCTAGCCAAGATCATTAATATCCTGGCCCAAATACCTGCAGGAATAGGCAAGTTTTGAAAGGCCTTGCAGAACGTTTATGGGAGGTGGGCCATTTGCATCTCTGGGGTGATGTATTCCCCAAGGGCACGTGCTGCCTATTTTGTACATCACAACACCTGTATAAAAGCATCAGAGCTGGAGTCCCTTTTTTAGATCCTTCTGGTTTGATCCCTCCTGCGGACATCATTGCTGCCCATCCTCTTTATATATTCATTTCTTTTATTTTAAGGCCTATATCGGCACTTTTAAAAAGGGGTTGGCAAAAAACAAATAACCATGCTACTAATTTAAAGTTGGAGGAAGCATCTGGACTCCACCTTCCTGTGGAGTCCTTGGTGCTCTCTGAGCTTGGTTGCTGGCCTGCAGACATTTTATTACCCAGCCTAGGTAACATCATCAGTGTAACTAAGGGTGGGGTTTGCTGCCTGTTTATGTATGGTAGCTTGTCCTGCCAGTATTTGTGGGGGTGTAATTTCCTCCTTGGTGGTTCCTTGATTTCTGTCTGTTTGTCTGGTGCTGATCTCTGCTTATCTGAATCTGGGCTGCTGGAGGTGATATGCTCTAGTCTTTTTGTTTCCTTCCCAGATTTTTTATTGTTTCTTTTGAATGCTGTGTAAATGTGGTTTATCTCTGTGTATCTACTGAGGGCTGATTTGTCTGAAGGCCAAGCTTTTCAGAATTCTCTAGCACTGATGATGTTGTCTAGTCAGGTCCTGAAATGTCTGCAAGCAAACAACCAAGCTCAGAGAACATCAAGGACTCCACAGTTCAACCCTGAGCTACAGATATTCTCTTCTATTCGAATTATCTTCCTTTCATGCTGAAATATGTAAGTTGTCTTTAAATCCATCTAAAGGGGGCTAATTTACATCCTATCTAGAGGGACATGATTGAAGAAAAGGTTGCAGCTTGTATTCTAATCTAAACTGGTAAAAGGGATTCCCTGGACACTGTGCTTCCAAGTCCTGGAAGCTCAAGAAGATGTTACCTAGACGGGTAATGAAATGTCTGCAAGAAAACAACCAAGCTCAGAGAACCCCAAGGACTCCACAACTCACAGTTTCCCGATTTCTAGTCTAGCACCTTCACTGTTACACTCAAATGGCTCTCAAAAATAATGAGCAACTTAATCAAATCAGTGCCAACAGGAAAAAAAAATCAGTGGGTATAAAACAAAAGCTTAGTTATATACCCATGTCCATGGATTTGAGTTTTGATGCTTTCAGGCTTTAAACATTCATTGTAAGAACTGAATTGAACTTCCTTATATAATGCATGCAAGTAGACATCCCTATTTTGCAGTAGACCACTGAAGAGAGAGTGGTCCTATAAAAAACTGGACATTCATACCTGCTCCTTCGCCAGCTCATCACTAAAGAGATTTTATATGGAGTACAGCGTTACATGGAGATCTTTCATTTTAGGGAATAGGTTGGGCTGAGAATGACTGGCCCAAAGGCATCCAGTGAGTTTCCATGGCTGAGAATAGACACTGAACCTGGGTTTCCAGTCCTAGTTCCACTTGGTTCTCCCTCCCTCCAAATCCCATGCATCCATGCTCATGAACAATGCATTTTCCCTTGTCCATTCCAGTCAACTTTGGATGACCTGGTGCAGATAAGGGAGAGTGCATTGCTTCACTTTGACAATACTTGGGAAGAGTCATACTGAGTTTTATTACATGGAGGCTGAGCAGAGCCCTAATGCAGTGACATCTGCAAAAAGTTAGGAGGACAAGCAAGATGGCAGAAGTGGCCTCCCTGTCTGAGCCCTACACCTTTTGTACCTGGGTTACAAAAACAGTGTGGCTTGGATTATGGGGCCATTTCTGCCATTTTGCCTGTTTTAATGCCATTCTGGGGATACTGCTGAATAGAGGATCTCAGATTTCTGATGCTATGTCCTTCTGCCTGTAAACCACCAGGCCTTTATAGATCCTACATTGCTACAATTTTCTACCCGTTTATGGACTACAGGACACACCTGCAGAACAGCTGGCTCACTGTTTACCTTCTTTCTGAGACCAGAGATGTCTGCAAGCATGGTCAAAGAAGTCAAGCTTTGGAGCATCAAGGCTACCATGTTTTTTGACCACACCCTGTAGACACCCTTGCTGAGACACCTGCTTAATTCCATTTGTCATCTTGCTGGTGGAGGTAAACCTGAAGGAAACAGTGAAGCAGCATAGCAATTTTAAGACCCCCAGTTATTATATTGTTGAAGATGGAAAGGGGTTTGATGCAAAACACACACGCACGCGCACGCAGTATGCCAGCCAGTTTTTGGAAGCTACAGCTAATAGAGAAGAGTTGGGAAGGTGTGGGTGAACTTCCCACCTGTTTTATTAACTAAAATAGGTTGCTAATCATTCCAATCTGTTGAAGAAAACAAAAAGGCAAGCTGAAAATCAATTAATCCAGATAACATTCCTGGGTCTTCTTAAAGACAAACCACTATTTTCAATTCACCGCCTCATGGCTGTGAGTGGATTTGGACAGCCAGATGAATGCACAGAAAACTGCATTATCTTAGAAGCAGAGATGGTGCTTCAGCTTGGATAAATCTCCCTCTAGAAATTTCATTTTTTGCTTGATCAAAACATTTATTACTGTGTTGTTCAGGCCACAGGAGAATCAGTGGCATCTACAATAACCCATAATGATGTCCAGTGAGAATATGCACATCGTGATGACATCACCAAAATGACAACCCCTGATGGAGGGTAGACTTGAAGCTGGATCTCTCCACTCCAAATCCCACAACAGTCTCATGAGATGGGCTGGGCTGAGAGAGATTGGTCCCAAATAAACCAATGGGTTTCCATGACTGATGATGGACTTTATCCTGGGTCTTCCTGATCCTAGTCCAGTATATTACCCAGAAGACCACATTCTTCTAGAATATACAGCCAAGGGACAGAAGTTAGTGATAACACCTGAGAAGGGTCTTCAAAGAATTCCACAATCTTGACTTGGGCCAAGCTATGCCTGATGAATATAGCGGAACTTTATCTTGAAGAGGGAGGGTTGGGAGGAAACATTTAACGTGCATTGCTGCCAAGGACTTCCTAAAATGTTTTCCATCTACTTCTGATCCTGCTAGGATTTGCAGTGAAGCAGAGGAGGCCCCATTCAACTACACCCATTGGGACCACCTCTGAAAATATCCTGACTGTCCTTTTCAGGTTGGAAATGCAGAAAACTGCACAAGAAGCACTACAATAGGAAGTATTTAGATAAAAAGGAAAAAAAGAGAGAAAGAGAGAGAGAGAACCAGCCCCCACATTCATGTGTAGGACTTGGGGATCCACCGAGAACAGAAAATTGCAGAGTCCTCTGGATTATATTGCATTTTCCTAGATGTTTCTGAATTCTGTCATACACTCAAACATTTACTTCTTGCAGAATACAGAATGGGAAGGGCGGGCAGAAAATACTCCAGGCAATTCCCTGTCTTGTCTGCTGCCATGGCTGAAAGTAAGGAAGCAATTACTGCACCCACTTTAAAATCCTATTTGTTATTCAAACCTTTGATTGATCTGCAACCCCCTCAGTGCTCTAGTGTAGCCTCAACATACCTCCAAATTACTATCTGTAATGCAAAAAAAAAAAAAAAAAAGGGGGGGGAATGATAAAATGCTTGACTGGAGCGTAACCATGTTAATTATATCTGCTTTTAATACACTTTAAATATGAATGAAATCAAATCAAATGTTGCTTTGGTCCCGATTCCTCTCTCTGCTCTGGGGACTGTGGCATCAGCATGACATTTAAAGATAAGGTGGCATGCTCAGCTATGTATCTCTGCCTGAAATAATTTGGAGCAAAACACAGGGTCAGGCCCATACCACAGGGGCAGAAGGAATGGCCTTGAAAGACAGGAGGAAGAGTGGCTACCAAGGCAATGATCAGATAAGCAGGGATTGAGCCCAGGTCAAAAAAATAATGTGAGAAAACATCTCAGACATGCCCCTCCCTAGTTCACACAAAGATAAAGGGAGGGAGGAGGGAAGCACGTTCAGATTTGCAAGATTCTGTTCCTATAGTTTTACAGTAAAAGTAGTACTGACCGACATGGCTTTTGTTTCCTAATCTGGTCTACCTCGAAGGCCAGACAACAGGCATGATCAAGGATCACATAACTAAGGAGTTTTCATGCAAGAATTAGGGGAAAAGTACAGAATTGTGGAAACTTCAGTAGGAACTGCCAGCCCTCTTTCATTAATGAGTTCATTAAGGCAGAGTCCCTTTGAATATTTTGAATTTCTTCTTCCTGGGACCTTCAGCATCTGCAACTGGAGGCTGAGCTGCCATTTATGAGATAAGCCACTAAGGAATTCCTCTCTCATCTGTGGATCAGTTTAATTTTCCTTCTGTTTCTTTCACTACCTTTTCACAATCTCTCACACATAGATGGCAGCAACTTTCTTCACTAAACTCTCTCTCTCTCTCTTTCTAAAACATATTTATTGAATTTCTGTACCAATACAAATAATGGCAATTGAGAACAAAACTCATACATTGTGTTGCATTTCCTTGAGTTGTTGGAAAAGCTATATAGTCAGAAAAATTGAACCAAGCAATGCAAGCTGAAGAAGTACAGAGGGACAAAGAAAAAAAAATAATGAAGATATTGTAGAAAAATAGTGGGATTTTTTTAATATTCAAAACTTTAATAGCAGACACATAAGCAATCTATCCATCAATCATTACACCAGTGGCTGTTCCCCCACTCCTTTGAAAATGTCATTAATGTGTTCTAATTTCCTTTTTCACTACATTTTTTCTTTCACCAAAGTATTCTGCCTTAATTCTGCTCTTTAAGGTCCACCTGCCTGTTTAGAAAGCAGTCAAGCTGTCAGATACTTCTGCTCACCACATCTCTCTGGAATGCATTACCAACTGAAATCTATCAAGTTGATGTTTAAAGGCCTTCAAAAAATTGATTTTCCATAGCCCTCATGCTGGAGTGGGTATTCGTTATGGGGACTGTTGTTTTTGACTGCAACCATTTTTTAAAGTTTTAACACTTTTAGATGGAGTGGTGATTCTTCTCCTCCTTCTCCTTCTCCTTCTCCTTCTCCTTCTCCTTCATCATCAGTTTATTGTTGCATTGCTTTCACTTGAGAGTATAGTACCTATCCACAGGTTAAAACAGGGTTTCTCAACGTTGGGAACTTTAAGATGTGTGGACTTTAACACCCAGAATTCCCCAGCCAGCCAACTCCCAATTCTGGGAGTTGAAGTCCACACATCTTAAAGTTCCCATGTTTGAGAAACACTGGGTTAAAATAATATCTTTCTGGGTTGA